AAATCATTTTTGGGGGCTCATACAACTCTTATCATAATCCATGCATACATCAATTGTGAAAAGCACATTTGTACATTTATTACCCTCATCGGGATGTACCTCTTTCCGGGAACAGAAAACCTCATCTTTCTCTTACAGAGTGGGTAGTGGGTTGGAACTGCTGGCTTTGTGGTTAGCAGCCCAACATACACCCTACTACGCCATTGAGGCTCCCTGTGTTTTGGTGGATACACAACTTTTGTAGGTGAGATCTTACCTGGAAACCAAATTCACACCATAGGGAAAGGAGGTGCTACTCTGGTGGACTGACCTATAGGAAGGAGGCTGCAGCCACTCAGCTTATCTTCTAGCCTGCTACCCCAGAGGGCTTTGAGCCCAGTGATTTCCTTGGGAGAATTTTAAAATGGCTTGTCTACAACGTGCCCTCATTGACTACAGCACTGCAAGAGACAGCACTGAAGACACAGTGTGGTAACTGTGCCTGGTCTGACCACCACCACCCCCACGACCCCCCCACACACACTGGGGTGAAACACAAAGGAGTACAGCAGAGCAGCACAGGGAGCAAAGCAACGAAGACCCTGAGAAATCCCAAAAATAGACTTCTGACTCAGGGGCAGGGCTTGGCACCTCCTCAGACCCAATTGGAAAACATTCATAAGGGTCAGCAGACAGACCTGAAACTACTTATAGTTTTATTTTTACTTACTTTATTTTATTAACTCTATGTCTATCTAAATAAGATAATCAGGTTTTCTCCTCCAATCCTGAAGAACAAACAATGGGACCTGCAGTTCTGGGGAGGCATGAGAGAGAGGAGGTAGGGGAACGGGAGGGGGCAACCAACAAACCCAGAGACAAGGGAACAACAAGGGATCTAAAATCGATAGCAAAGAATGCCTGGTGGGGTTTGATCAAGTGCAATGTAGGTGAGGGGACTTACTGAGGGCCGAATGAAGATCGAAAATGACGGTGGGACAGGTGGAATGTAAAAGGAAATAAAGAACTAAGAGGCAAAAGATATTTATAGAGGTATAAATATAGACATGTACATATGTAAATACAGTGAACCCTCGTTTATCGCGGTTAATCGGTTCTAGATCCTACCGTGATAAATGAAATTCTG